GAGAGAGAGAGAGAGAGAGAGAGAGAGAGAATAGCACATCGTAAAACTACCCAACCATCCCATGTATACTAACTACCAGTCCTTAAAATTTTCATACCCTCTAAATGTATGATACAGTGAGTACTCGCTGTACTGTACTTTTTATTGTGTAAAAATGCATCGAGATAATTATAAAATAAAATTTTTATAATTACATTAAACACAGAGACAAAACTGTTGGCCATTTGAGGCACCAGTGCTTAGCAAATAGCATACAATACATGGTATTTTAGTCTAGCGTTCTGTGCATTTTCTCATGACATGTGTATTATGTAATCATAAAATTTTTATATAGTTTATATGTCCATAAGATTACATACATGTATATACAGTACAGTAGAAAAAGTGCTTGTATTGTATATTTGGTTATCATTAATAGCCACTTAAGATAAGCCCATATCTTAAGGTTAATAATGATAGTTCTCAATGTTTTTACCATATTTTTGAGTGTAAAAATAGTGACAACAATAATTGTTATTTATTCACCAATTACTTTATATATGTAAATTTGATTGGTATTGAATTTAGTTGCATGCATTTTTTATTTTGTTTAGTCTGGTTATGCTAGGTTAGTTTAATATTGGTGTGTGTTATACACTGTATGTAATGTACTTTGAACCGGATCCCTGGCCTTCCCGACCCTGATCATTGATAAATAAAAGATTTTTATTAATTTAAATTGTATATACTGTACAAAGAGATCATTTGGCTCTCTCTCTCTCTCTCTCTCTCTCTCTCTCTCTCTCTCTTTCAGAATAAGAAGGTTTGACTGTATTTTACCACAAATTTTGTGTTCATTTTAGATATCAATTTACATATTGAACAATACAACTGTCTGTTCAGTCAATCAAATACTCCCATCTCTCTCTCTCTCTCTCTCTCTCTCTCTCTCTTTCTTACATAATGTTTGATTATTGTTGTCTAGCAGTCTCTCTCTCTCTCTCTCCCCTATTCATTCACTATCAGTATATTTAAATGTTATCTAAAAATATATTGAAAAAGTTTTATAAAATAAATTATTTTTGCCAAATCTGACGCCTAAAAACCGCCAGTATTTTTGAGTACATTATAGCGATTATAAATACAGTAATGTTTGTCTATTAGTGATATTTATTATGTATTTATTATTTATGCTTAAATATACAAAAATTAATTAATTAAGTTTTATTTCTCGTGAGAATTGGTACTAAAAGCGTAGTTATCATTATGCAATTGATTTGTGATTTTTGAGCATTTATTAAGTATACAGTATTTTAATTAATTAATTGGGAAAATAGCAAAATATCATATCATTTAATGGACTTTAAAACACTTGAAATTTTGTGTGATTTTTGCCCCTTTTTAACCGCACTTTAGACTAGAATTATTTATTTTATAAATTATAATGAATAGTTATGTAACTTATTTAATGTTCATGGTCAGTCGCGTTGCCGCCAATAGTGTACAGATTTATTTTGCATAATCTATCACAAAATAACACATTTTAAGCACATTTTTAGACATGGTAAAAACATGCTTCATAATAAATTAGTTGCAATATTTAAAACTAATAATAAAACCATTATTACTACATAAATTATCAAGACACTATTACCACAATTAAAACAATGTAAGACAGTATCAAATTTGCGCTTATAATCATGATATAATTTTATTTTTACACCACTTACAAAATAATTTTATTTACCTCTTTCTAAATTATATATTTTTTACCATATTTTTTAAGGCGTGAACTTTGTGCTGAGAAATCTGGCCAAGACATCGACGCCCGTGGTTGAGATCACCAAAGATGGCGACACGTTTAGCCTGAAGACAATCACCGCTATCAAGAACAGTGAGATCAAGTTCGAGTTGGGCAAAGAGTTCGAGGAGGCGCGCATGGATGGCAAGAATGTCAAGGTGCATTTAGTTGCCATTACTTTGACCATTAGTTTACCACACACAATCCACTTTTATCACCTAGCATAGTTACTACCGATCTAGAATCTAGCGTTCTAATTAATTAAATACACCTGTTAGTAAACTGTTACTACACCCTTACCCCCCATACGGCCCAAACAGCCCTATTGTTTAGCGTAGATACGCACAGAGACCACATTGCCTACCGATGCGGTCACTTTGAGTTCGGCGCCGTTGAACTCGCGCACAATTTTCACCTCTTTGTCACCATGTTGGGTCTGGATCAGTTTGTTGCCATCGGCCACCACCACGGTCTAATTCAAACATACAGCAAAAAAAACAATTAATATAAGTAACAAACAATTAATAAAACTAAATAAATCAATAATATTATTATATTCATTTGACCATGTATAGATGTTGAGGGGAGGGGTAAGAGTGTAGTAACAGTTTAGTAGCAGGCGTATTTAATTAAGTAGAACGCTAGGTAGTAACTATGTTAGGTGATGGAGGTGGCTTGTGTGTGGTAAACTACTATTCAAAGTAATGGTAAATAAATCACCTTGACATTCTTGCCATCCATGCGCGCCTCCTCAAACTCCTTGCCCAACTCGAACTTGATCTCACTGTTCTTGATGGCGGTGATTGTCTTCAGGCTAAACGTGTCGCCATCTTTGGTGATCTCAACCACGGGCGTCGATGTCTTGGCCAGATTTCTCAGCACAAAGTTCACTCCTAACAAAATATGGTAAAAATATATATAATTTAGAACGTGGTACATTAAAATTATTTTGTAAGTGGCGTAAAAATAAAATTATATCATGATTATAAGCCCAAATTTGGTATTGTTTTACATTGTTTTAATTGTGGTAATAGTGTCTTGATAATTTATGTAGTAATAATATTTTTATTATTAGTTTTAAATATTGCAACTAATTTATTATGAAGCATGTTTTTACCATGTCTAAAATGTGCTTAAAATGTATTATTCTTTGATAGATTATGCAAAATAAATCTGCACACTATTGGCGGCAACTTGACTGACCATGAACATTAAATAAATTACATAACGATTCATTATAATTTATAAAATAAATAATTCTAGTCTAAAGTGCGGCTAAAAACAGGCAAAAATCACAAAATTTCAAGTGTTTTAAAGTCCGTTAAATGATATGATATTTTCTATTAATTAATTAAAATACTGTATACTTAATAAATGCTTAAAAATCACAAATCAATTGCATAATGATAACTATGCTTTTAGTGCCAATTCTCACGAGAAATAGAACTTAATTAATTAATATTTTGTATATTTTAACATAAATAATAAATACATAATAAATATCACTAATAGACAAACATTACTGTATATACGCTATAATGTAATCAAATGTACTCAAAAATACGGACTCTTTTAGGCGTCAGATTTGGCAAAAATAACTTATTTTATAAAACTTTTTTCAATATATTTTTAGATAACATTTAAATATACTGATAGTGAATGAATAGGGGAGAGAGAAAGAAAGAAAGAAAGAAAGAAAGAAAGAGAGAGAGAGAGAGAGA